TTTTACATAGATTATATATATGCTACACTGCCACAGAGAAACGCCCACTTCACATATACTGCAGAAAGTGAGAATGGAGAAGAAATTATTATTCTCATTCTGCGCATCTTCTTCACTGTCTAGATCCACTAGTTGTATTTTTGTTTGCTTTCTGATATAGCATAAAATTGGGAGGGGGTTTGTGACAAAAAACTAAATAAATATTTAATGTATCAGCACCTGTCATATAGTTTCTGTGCACCACCACTATCAATTTCCTGGTAGTTCTCCTTCCCTACCCAACTTCATTAAAGAATAAAAGTAAAGTAATAAGTCATTTCACACTCTGTCTGACCATTATACAATAATAGCAAGATTTCATGCAAGGGTACAACATTATGCCCATCTGCAATCACAGTCTCTTTGCAAAAATCTCAATTCACACTTCACATGCAGCTAACCTTGTTACCATTCCCTTCCTAAACCCATCAGTCTTGCAGCTGCACGTCTTCACAGCCCAACATCTTAAAATTCATCACTTTGACACCCTCACATCCCTACAGGTCAAACTAAAGACACCAACCAAGAATAATTAAGGGGTACCCCAGATGTTTAGTTTACTTCTAGTCAACCTTTCCCAGAACTGGGTACAGTTCTCTGTTCATATGCTAGAGATCCATGGAAGGTGCTTGTTTCAAGAGAAAGAGACCTCCAACAAATTTCAGAGCTCTTCACCCCCCCTTTTTCTTTCCTTTTTTTTTTTTTTTTTTTTTTACAAGTATAGCTCTTTGTAGTTGGAATTTGAAAAAGAAGCGTGATAATGAGTAGGTTCAGGGAAGGAAAGGTGTTATCTCATTAAGGTAATTACTAAGACAGCCCCACCATTACCTCGGTTTGAAAATGTGGCAATTAAAGCGCCCTACATGGGCTCCCAGAGACGAGTGAACGAGACAGTCTCGGACAACTTCTGTGTGCTCGGTCCGGGAGCGCCGATCCCGCGGGGCACAGCCCGAGGCAGCGAGGGGGCCGCCGGGAGCGCCGCAACAGGGGCCCGCGGCTGCGCCCCGGCACAGCGCGGCCCCTCCCGGGAAGGGCGCGGCCGTGGCGGGGGAGCGCCGGGCGTCCCGTCGAGCCCCGCACCCATCGCTGCCAGCGCAAAGCGCCTCACTTGGGTTCCTTTGAAATCCGCAAATTTTGAGGACCGGCGTTTGTGCGCTTCCATTAATAGAAGCGACTTGTGAAAAATAGGGCATATGAATATGGAAAGGCAGTTTTAATGCGATGGGCGCTTGGCTGGACCTGCTCTCCGGCTGGAAACACGCAGAGACAGGCACCGGCTCCGGCTGCCCCACGGCCCGTTGGACGGCAGGAGCAGCCCAAGGGAGGAGAGAAGTTCGGGGCTTTTTCGTGAAATGGGGGCACGGGGGAGAGACGCCTTCGGGGTCGCCCGCCCGACCCCCGCCGGTCCCGATGGGTCTCCGGCCCCATCAGCTGTGCCCCTCCAGGGACTGTGGGAGTCATTTCGATGCTATCCCCTAAACAGAGCAGGCGGCTCCTCCCGCGGGACGAGGGCAAAGGTCCATCCCGGCAGACCAGATTACCCGTACCCCCTTTTCCTCGCAGACGGAGCTCCACGATAAACCAGATGCTGGGGAAGAAACCCGGTGGTGTCACCGGCGGGAGACATGGGTTTAGCAGCAAGACAGAACAGAAGAGGGGGAAAATGTGTAATTCCAACGCGAAACGGTTATTCGCCGCTCACCCCCGACACCCCTAGGCTAGGAAAATTTCTTACATTGTAAAGGGTTTTGCCTTTTCCACAGGTGAGCTCAGCCTAGCTGCACTCACTCCACGCTCTGGGCTGGAACCGAAGTTTTCGAGTGGGCTGCAATTAGAACATAGGGTGACTTACAACGCACATTTGCACAAAAGTGTAATGTGAATTTGGAGGAAGGTAAATTCTGCAAAGAAAGAAAATAAAAAATAACAAAAGTTAAAAACCCACCCTAACAAGAAACAGTAAAACCTGCCGGAGGGATAGCCAAGAGCCAGAGCACCAAAACGGCGTTACATGCAGGTGGTGTGTAAATGCAACCAGGGTGACCGGCACGGCAAGTAACTCCATTCCGTGCTGCTTACTGGTTCCCATCGTCTGCGCCGGACTCGCTTGCTCGAGTGGGAAAGCGGATTCAGGTCCCGAGCACCCAGCTTCCACACAGGCGCCAGGGCAAGCACTCTCAGAGAGGCAAAGACAGTGCTTGTCTCTGTACCCCACTCCAGAGGAGCTCCCCTTCTCACTTTTTGCTCTAACTATGGCCAAGCTAATTCCCCGAGAGGGTGAAGTAATTAAACATCATCCTGCTGTTGCATCCTGCGAGACCATCAGCCAAGGGCGGCGGAGCAGCCTGCCCATGGCTTAGCTGCCGGGAGGGCTCAGCCCAGAGCAGGAGCCCAGTGAGTCGCCGAAACCTGCCTGAGCGTACCAGGGGTTCCCCGAAGAAGCCTCCTGTGCCGTGCTCACCTGCAAAACACATACCACGGCCCAGAAGAAACCAACCAAAGGGGAACCAGGCACAGGGTGTCCAAAGGGTCTCCCAGGTCTCACTGCGGCCGCGCCGGTGTTAAACCGGAGTGATGAGACACAGGGGAAGCGGAGCGGCCCCGTCCCGCTTTTCAACCCTCCTGCTGGTGCAGAGGCAACGCTCAAACGTTTGGCACACAGCCGCAGCTCAGGGCCGAAGAGCCAGGCCCAGGAGAGGGCAGAGGCTCTCTCCCGGGTGGTGGGTGGCGGGGAGACGAACCAAGTGGCTCTTCGGCATCCGGAGACTGTGTCAGCCTCCTCCATCTTCACCATCGCCCGCCGACAAGCACCGTGGGAGGTGGCCACGAGGTCCGGGTGGACGGGAGACTCCCGAGCTGCCCGGCCGAGCACGGCCTGTGGAAGGCCGGGAGGTCCCGCGGGACGGGACGCTGGGTGCGGGCCGAGCCCGCCGGCGCCGCCCGGAGCTGTCCGTGGTGCTGAGCGCGGGCGGGGCCGCAGCCGCCCGGCGAGGTGCAGGAGTCTCCGCGTCTGGAGGGGCCGGAGCTGCTCCGCTCCTTGCGGACTGCTGTCCGGTGCGGGGAAGGCAAACTCTCCTGGCCACCCCGCGGGCTGCCGCGGTCCCTCGCGTACTGACAGCTCTGCTACAGCCTCACAGATTGTTTCCACTCCAAGCGCACCAACAGCCAGCTCTTTTCCGGCGGGTGCCAATATTTCCCGCTGTTTAAGGCTGAGAGAGCCCATCCCGTTCGTCTGGCAACAGATGGGTTCGGTTGTTTGTGCACAACCCCTTCCAGGGCCGAGAGCAGGCCTTGGCCCAGAAGGGGCTGAGGGCTGAGAGGGACCGGGACTGCAGGAATTCAGCCGCTCGGCACCAAATCTGGCGCCGCGGCGAAAACGGTTGCCCGAGAAAGGAAAGCGGGACGAAACCCGGCCGGCGCGTTTGGGAAGGCATGGCAGCCAAAGGCGCCAAGCCGCGCCCGGTCTCTGGCCCCGCGCCGTGCCGTTCCCCGCGCTGGAGGCGGCCCCGCGCATTCCGGCCCGACGCCCGGCTGGCTCTTTGTCCTGCCGCAGCGCGCTGAAATGCGGGCCCGTGTGCCGTAGGGTTTAAACAAGCAACGGAGTCCGTTCCTTCCCCATCTCGAGGCAGCCTGACCTCGAGTCGGCTCCATCCCGGTGCGAATTGGGAGCGGGACAAAGGCCCACTTCCCAAATGGGGAAAAGAGGAGTGAAAGAGAGCGATTCCTGCTCCAAACCTCCTCCGGCTTACAGCTACTTTCCAGTTGGGTCTAGAAACACGTTTCAGGGGAGGTGGTGGTTCCTCGCCCCTCTCCTCTGGCAGCCCCTGCTTCAGACAGCATCCGACACTGCACCGACAGCCTTGCCACGCTCCCCTCTCCTCTCTCGCTACTTCCCTCTGCCGTTCCCAAAGCACCGAGAGGCCCCTGGCCCGGTGGGCACCCCGCGGCCGGCCCTGCCTGCGAGGGGGACACGTCTATTTTGCATGAACTTTCCTTCCTTGTTTTCACTACTTTTCAGAGAATTTATGCAGTCAAAACCGAGGCACCACGAACAACGACCTGGGACTAGCTTTTTCAGCTGCATTGCCTCCTTTCGTGAAAGACTCGTTGCTTAGACTCAAGAAAAGGCCCTAACGAGCCCAGAATTTCCTACCTCCTTCCCCAGCCCGCAAAGGATGCGTTTCCTGGGAAAACCTCGGTGGCAATGCGGGGCAGACAGATTTCTCTGGCCACTTAGGGACCCCCTCCCGGGTCGTTCCTGCAGGGGGTATTTGGGGGCCACGGCGGAGATGCGGGAGAACAGTCAGCGGCCGCCACAACACGGGCGAAAACCGAAGTGGGCGTTCCCGACCCGCTCCCCTTTTGTTAGATCAAGGCAAAGGTCAATATGGTTTTAGCGCGAATTTATTAGCACAGAAATCAGCAAGCCGCTCGCTAATTAGCAAAGCCCAAATAAACGTGCCCGGAGGCTTCTCTTTTCCTTTTTTCGTTTGTTGTTGGTTTTTGTTTTTGTTGGTCTTTTTTTTTCCACTTCTGTCTCAAAAGAAAGGGGACTCACGAGCAAAAATAGAGAGGGGGAAAAAAAAAAGCGCCAAACCCTCAGAGGAGAGGATAACATGGGACTTTATGAATGTTTTATGGGTAATTGCTGTATAACTTTCTAATTTCGCAGAGGGGTGTTCATCTCCAAAGGCTGGGGACAGAGCCGTCCCCGGAGCCCAGTGGAGGGTCACAGCCCCCAGTCCCAATCCGCGTCCCCTCTGCCCCCGGGGGACCCGGTGGCCGGGCAGCCCAGGCCAGCATGGGGAAGGGAGGCGCTCGGCAGGAAAGATGCCTGCCAGGGGAAAGGGCGGGTGGAACGGGCACACACAGCAATAAAGTTCAAAGGCCAGCGGGGCTCGGGAGCTCCGTGTCCGCCGGGACCCCTCTGCCCTCCCTGCCTGTTTTCCCTCGTTACTCACCCCGACCGCCGGCGCTCGCTGCCTGTCCCAGCTCCGTGCAGAGACAGCTGCCGGGCCGGGGCCACATCCCCACGTCCTGCACGGTCCCGTCGCGCCCGCCCCCAAGGGCCAGAGCCTCTACCCGCCGCCACCCTGCCCAGGTGCTTAAAATAACAGCGAGGGGCACGACACCTGCAGGGGGATTTGATTTTCCTTTAAAATACAGATAGGGAAAAACAGCGCCAGTTAAGAAACAACAAGCCTAAAACTCAAAATATATTCAGTATAATACTGAAAATTAAAAAGTGGCATCTGCCTTTTCTACTCTGAATTTCTTGAGTTCTTGTCACGGAGAAATTAGCTACCTTGAATTTTCAAGTTTGTTAAAAAAAAGATAAAGTTTATTTCTTTTTTGCTTTGCTTTCCCCTGTAATTTTTCAGTCACAAAAAAAAATCTATATTTTATCATCTAAGCATTTATTTTACTGAATCCAAAAAGACATGAAAAGGGATAGGGAAGAACCACGTTCGTTCGTTTTAAACTAACGTATAGAAGTGAAATTTTTTCTCCTTTTTTTGGACGACATATAATAAATATGATATAGCACTCAGCACTCGGTCTGTACAATTCTGTTCGCATTAGGGAGCATGCCACTTTGCAATAAGAAAAAAAAAAAAAGGTCATGAGAAAAATCAGTGCAAAGTTCTCCGTTTCCCCGGTCTTCTCTGCCGGGCGGGGGTCGAGGCGCTCTCATTCCCTCCGTCCTCCGCAGCCGTTAGTCTCTCCGGCGGGCTCGGGCTCCCTCTCCCTCTTCCTCCTCCACCCCCTCCGTCCCTCTCTCTCTCCGAGCTCCAAGTCCTGCCTCGCAGGAGCCGAGGTCGGCGGGTCGCCCCGCGGCTCTGCCCGCCTTCCCCCGCGTGTGGTCGTTTCACTTACGGGCTTGGCTCTGGGTTCACGGTTCAAGAGTCCCTGCTCTGACTGATCGCCTCCCTCGGTGGCCGGTGGCTGCCTGCAGAAGCTCCTGCCCCTCGGCTTCCCCTCGCTTCCTCCTCTGCGGTGCTGGGGCTTGTTTGGGGACGGGGAGGGGAAGGGCTCGTTGCGGGGACCGCGGTGCCGTTTCACCGAGGGTGCGGGGTGCCGGGCATGGGGTTGGCCAGGGGGTTGAGGGCCGGCTGCCCACCGGGCCCCAGCCCGTGGATCAGCACCCGCGGCACCAGTGGCCGCTGGAGCTGGGGATGCGGTGCGGGGGGAGTCCGGTACATGCTGCTGTACATGGCTGCGGCCGCCGCGGCCGCCGTCGTACTGTCCATGCTGCCCAGCAGGCTGGGGTGATAGAAATAAGGCGAGGGGAACATCCGCTGCAGTGCTGAGTAGTTCCCGGCCTCAGCCAGCAGCTCCAGGCCCACCGCCGTCTGCCGCTTCCACTTCGTCCTGCCGGGAGGAGCAAGAGGCGGCTGCAGGGCGGGCGCCACGATGGGGCACCTAACCCGGTTTCGCGGGAGTCCACAGGTGGCGAGCCCCCTCCCCTGCGCGACCCCGCACCACCGGGGCCCCGACGAGGCGCACCGGCCCCGTGGGCCCGCACACGGTGCGATCCTCCCGGCTGTGCCCGGTTCCCCCTCCCAGCCCCGCACTCCAGGACACATGCATACGGCGACTACGGCCAAATTAATAACCCTGGTACACAGTTAGATCGCAGAGCGCTGACGCTAATGGTTTGCGACAGAATTAGGGTGGCTGCTACCGTATGTAATGAGACAGAAAATTACGGCAGCGGTGACAGGGGCCGGACCCCCCAGCCCGCCGCCGGGGAGGGCGCGGGGCAACCATCGGGAGCTCCCCGCACCACCCTGGGCTACCGCGGACAGGAACCCAGCGGCGCCTTCCCGCCCCCCGGTTCTCCGGGGAGACCCTGGGCCGTCGCGGCGCCTGGGCCCGTCTTACCTCCGGTTCTGGTACCAGGTTTTGACCTGCGTGTCGGTGAGGTTGAGGGCGGCGGCCAAGTCCATGCGGTCCTGCACGCTCAGGTACTTCTGCCGCTCGAAGCTGCGCTCCAACTGGTTGAGCTGGTGGTCGGAGAAGGCGGTCCGTGCCTTCCGAGGCTTCTTGGCACGCACCGGCGGGCTGTCCCGGCTGCTGCTGATCTCCCGATCGCCCTCCTCCTTTGTCCCTGCGAGCGAGCCGAAGCGCGGTGAGGGCTGGGGGGACACCGGCTCGGCCCCCGCCCCGCCCCGCCGCGGTTACCGGGCCCCGCCGACCCCTCCCCGTGGGCTCCTCCGGGGCACGGGGAGAACGGTCAAGTATGGCGGGGGGCGGCGGCGGCGAGCCCGTCCGGGAAACGGCGGGATCTCCACTCTCCGCTTGCCAACTACAGGGCTTTCGTTGTTTTCTCGCCCTCTCCCCCCGGCCCGAAACGCCGGGAAATCGATCTGTCAATCCGGCTCTACTCGGGCCCGGGTTTGTGGCGCTCCTTGATCTTCCCCGCAGGAAGAACAATAATCTCCCTAATTGACCCACTGGGGAGGTTGGTGCACACAAAAATGGCCAGACCAGACTGTACATCTGTTTTGGGCACTCGTATGCTAATGCTAAAGAGCAAAACGAGCGGCACTCGCGGGCACCTCGTTGCTCTGAGCCTGGCAAAAATAGCTCAGTTCGGCAAAATAAGGAAAATGTGTCCTGTTGCCTCTCGGATGCACCGGGCTGCCTGCGGGGAGGGCAGCTCTGCCGACGCCGAAGGGAAAATATCTCCTCTCCATGCTCGCCTTTCCTTACTCCTTTCCTCCCTTCCCCTTCCCAAGCGCACATCGCTATTTTCATTTCCGAACCCCGCACAGCGGGGGCTTCCCCATCAGCACGAAATCCTTAATTAAAAAAAAAAAGAAAAAGAAAAAAAAAGAAAAAAATTAAAGACGGGAAAATAAACCTTCTATCCAGGCGCAGAGGAAACGCGAGGATTTTGCCAAACGCACAAAGCCCTTCAACCTCCCTCTGCCGACAGCGGGCCGAGTTCTTCTTATTATTATTTTATTTTTAATTAAAAGTTGTGAGTTTTTTCGTTTATTTGTTATTGATTGCTGGGGAAGTGGAATTTTTAATCTTAATTTTATTTTAGATCGAATTAGCAAAAATGAAAAGGCTGAAGGCAGTAAGTGCAGCTGAGCAGCCGGTTCTTAGAAAGCTGGAGAATCATTTATGCGCATTTGCATTAAAAATAAATACAGTCTGATTTCCCATGCGATCTCACTGCTTGGGCTATTTTCTTAAAAACAGGGAAGCTAAATTTGAAAAAAAAAAAAAAGGAAATAAAAAGAGTAGGAAAGACCAACAGATATTAAATTAAAAAAAAAAAAAAAAAAAGAAAGAAAGAAAAAAAAAGCGATTTAATTTCCTACCGACCTTATCCCCGCGGTAGCGAGGATCACCGAGTGGCCCCGGCAGAGCGAGCTCCTACCGCAGATTTTCCCCACGGTTTTCGTTTCATCGATAAGGCCGAACGCCGCAGCCCCGATTGTACCGGCGGCCGAGGCGGTGCGGAGTCGGGCCGGGCCGTACTTACCGTGGCATTTGATGTCCCCCTGCGTGTCGTCGCGCTTGTCGAGCTTGGCTTTGCCGTCCTCCTGCTCGAGTTTGGGCCTGAAGCTCTCCGGGGCCGCGCTGCCCTCCTGCTTGGGAGTGTGATGGGGAGAGGGGACGCTGGTACTGTAAGGTGCACACGCCGCCAGCGGTTTGCTGTCGCCCAAAATGTCCTTAATTAAAAAAGAAGATGTGGAAGTCCTGGGGCCGGAGCTGGCCGAGCCCAGCTGGGGCGGCGGCGGCTGCGGGGGCGACGGCTGCAAACTCGGCGGCGGTGGCGGCGGGTGCGGGCCGAGGTGGAGGTGGTGCGGCGGCGGCGGGAGGCTTTCCGCCACCCCCAGGTGCTGCTCGGGGTGCTCCATGCTCACCGAGATGGGCGACGAGGGCGCCGTCCCCACCGTGTCGATTTCCGAGCAGGGGGACGGCGTGGCCTGGCTCCTAAAATCCGCCGGCCGGCCGTCGCCGTGGGGGCGAAAATCTCCGTTCATGACTCCGGGGCTGCCGGTGCTGCCACCCGACAGGATCGTGTCTATCCCGAAGCTGGACCCGCTCGGCCCCTCCATGGCGGACCGTTCAGCGCCGCGTCCGCATCCCCGTGGGCGGCCGCGGGGGTCTCACCGGGGGTGGAGGAGAAGGGATGTGGAGGGGGGCGGAACTGGGTTACCCCAATCAGCGCACCGGCGGCGCGGGCGACACTAACGCGGGGCCCCCGCCGAGCACCACATCGCCGCCGGGCCGGCTCGCCGCTACCCAACTTTGTTGCGGGAAGTTGCGGGCGCGGAGCGGGGCGGACACCGGCCACTGCGGCGCGCCCGCCCGTGCCCACCGAGCTCCTCTCGGCGGCGGCGACTCCCCCCGTGACGTCACGGCCGCCGCGGCCCCCCCGCCGTTTATTATAAACCCGGGCTTTTGCCGCCGCCGCCGCCCGCCCCCATTGGCGGAGGGCCGCGAGGGGGCTGACGCAGCGCGGGCCGTAGCCAATCAGCGGCGGCGGCGGGCACGGCCGCGGGAGGCGGGGGCGCGCCCCGGCTCCCTCCCGGACCTGTCCACGCCGCCGCCGCCGCCGCCCCGTCGGGCCCCCATTCCCCCGGTCACCGGAGCTGATCCCTCCGGAGAGTATCGTCCGGTGCTCCTGGGACGGTTCCCTGGTTAAATGTCAGAATAATAGGAAGTGCCAGCGACAAGACGTCGTATTAATCCTGATGAAGCAGCGTGTTAAGCTAATTAGAAGAGTAATTATAAGGGTGATAATGAATGATTTAGAGTTCTCCGAGTTTTATTTTAGTAGGAATTGCCATTTCCAGGGTCCTATGAAGCACTGCCCGACACCTCTCTTCCCGGTCTCCAGTAGCCCCGAGACCCAATCACCCCCCAGAACAACATCCGCGGCGCCAAACTTCGGGGGCACAGGGGAACTGGACACAGCAGTGGAGGCGCAGGGAAAGATTAGGGCAGGATGAGCCCAAGAGGGATTTTTCGGGTGCTGGTCTTCAGCGAGGGCACTAGGAGCTACCTTAGGTGTAGGGCCACTGGCATCCCCGCCCCACACACAGAGGCTGTCCCGGTGATGGGGAGCCCGCCGCCAGCCTCGAGCGAGGAGCGGCGAGTGAGGACACGAGGGTCCTTCCTAACTTCTTCATCGTTCTGCCTGCCCCGTACCGGGAGAGTCCCGTCCGGCCCTGCAGAGTGCTGTCCGGATGTGGTGGCAGGTCGTGGGTGGGTGCGCCTCCACCACCCCATTTCCCATTGCGTTTTGTTTCTTGGGGAAGCTGTCCCGCTCAGAGCTGCGGAGAAGTGCGAGGAGCGTTTGGGGAGCTCAGCGGGAGCGAGAGACTGTGTCCAACCGGTAACTCGTTGCGAGTGTTTGGATCCGACGTGAGATGCCACAGCCCCAGGACAGTGGTGCGGGATGCGAAGCTGCGCCCCGACATGAGAGATGCCAAGGTGGAGAGTGCCGCGGCCTTCGCCTCCGCTTCTGACGGCTTGGGGCCGGCCTTCCCTCGTATGGAGGGGGGCGAGGAGCTTCTGGGTCCTCGCTGGTATAAATCGCAGTGCTTCCCTGGGATTCACCGGTGCCACACCCGAAGGGTAGTGCGGTGGGACAGCTCCCTGCCCCTCTGCCGCACTTCGGAAGAAGTTTTTCCACGGCAGGGAAGCCCGTCCGCGGGCAGCCCGTTGCTACCGAGCATCGCCCGCTCCGTCCCGACGGTCCCACATGGCCGCCAGCGGCCCTGCGGGCAGCCAGGGGCAGCCAGCCGCACGGTTTGCCGCCGGGCTTTAGGCGCCGGTGCTACGCCCGGAGGCCGGTGAGGGAGCAGAGGCGGCGGGCCCGAAAGAGGTGCAGGGCCGCCCGTGTCCGCTGGGCGGCGGTGGCGGCCGCCCCCGTTGTCCCCGACGGGCGCCCAGCGCGGACGAGGCCAGAGGCAGCGCGGGAGCCGCAGCCTCGATGAGAGCTAGGTTGGCAGCACGGCGGGGTGACCTCCTGCCAGCACGTCCCGACAGATCGGGGCTTTCGGAGGAACGAGGAGAAGAAAAGGGAACAGAAGAAAGGGGAAAACTGAGAAGTAAAATGAAAGAACAGGAGAAAATGACAAACACTTAAATATCTTCAAATGCCCAGGCAGGTTTCCTGCAGCAGGGAAGCAGCCCGCGGCGGCTGTATTTATCCTGCTGTCTTAGTTTGCAATTTACCCAAACTATGTCCTAATTATCCCTGGGGGAATGCGGGATCCGGGGTAATATGTTACACCAGCATAATCCTTTAACTCACAATACACCTCCCCGTCCCGGAATCGGGATTTAGGGCTTAAAGTCATGTTCTTGAACACTGAACACCTTTCATTTCCTTCCTCTTATTTTTTAATCCTCGATTCCATTGTGTAGAAATATTCTGGGGGAAAGCAGCGCGAGGCCCGCCCCGCCCGGGGCAGCCGCTCCGCTCCCGGCCGGGCTCCGCAGAGCCCAGAGCGCCGGCAACCTCGGCCTGTCCTGCTCCTCCGCGGGCACCGCCGGCCGGTTCGGATTCCCAGAGCGTGATCAGCCCTACGCGGGGGCATCTCACGCAAAAGGCCCCTCCACCTCCTGCCTGCACCCTCTGGGGGCGAGGAGACCAGCGGGACGCTCCTTATACTTGTTGAGGCCAGGGTAGATGCTGACAGCTGCTGTCCCGTGTCCCCTCAGCCCCTGGCTGAATGACCCCTCCCTTTCCCATCTATCCCACCCGTCTGACTGCGGGCAAAGCCACGGAGCTCCCCGTCCCAATAAATCAGCAACAACCGAATCAAAGCGATGAGCGAAGGTGCCACTCAGAAAACTCGGACGGGGCGCCGCTCGTTAATTAGCAGGCAGCTAATTAGAGCAGCACTTAGAGCGCTAATCAATGGCCCGATGGAGGCTGGGGGCAGCGAGCGGCAGGGACGGGCTATCATGTGCCGGTTCGACAACCGACCCCTGCCGGGAGGGCGGTCCCAGCCCAGGCACCGCGAACCGGCCTCAAGCTCCGGCCAACGGGGTCCAGCAACTGCCACCTTGGCCCCCAACGGGAAGGCCCCGCCCCACTGAAGGGGATCCCCAGGAGCACAGTGCGGGGGTCTGGGGGTCCCTCTGCCAAGCATTTCGGGGATGGCAGGACGCAGCATTTCGGCCTCGGGATGGGTTACTTCCCACTCGGATTTTGGTGCGCAGTCGTGTTGGCTCACTGGCAGCACCACAGCTCGGAGGGAGGGGGGGCTGGAGGAGGCCGGGAGGGGCCGAGCCCGTTGTACTGTGAAATTTAACAGTCTGAACATCCCTTTATTAAAAGCTGCTGCTTGACATTTACACTGTGCCAACAGACTCGCCGTCTAATCCAGGCGAAAATATATTGTACCTCGGAGTAATTGGGGCCGTTGCAAGAGACGCTACAGAACGTTTCCCAGCGGGAACAAAACGGCGCGGAGCAGCGA